GGCAGGGGGTGCGGCGGCGGCGCGGTGCAGGGCCTGCACCGGGCAAGGGCCGCAGACGGGCGCGAGCGCATGCATGCTGTGCGCTGTGCGCCACGCTTGGATGCCGGCACCCAACCCTTTTGCCGGCCGCCGCACCACCCCCACGCCACGCCTCCCGCCCACCCACCCGCCCCCCCCCGGGCCCTCACCCACGCACGCAAGCACATGCACGTGCCCCCTGCAGACAAGTTTGAGGCCGCCAAGCGGTGGGGCGCCACCGACTGTGTGAACCCCAAGGACCACGACAGGCCGGTGCAGGCGGTGCTGGTGGAGATGAGCCCCACGGGCTGGGGCATCGACTACACCTTTGAGTGCATCGGAAGCGTGGAGGTGGGTGGGTGAGGAGGCGCGGGGCGGCTGCCTGCTGCGGGGTGGCAGGCTGCCAGCAGACGGGCAGGCGGGGTAGCATGCAGGGTGCACAAAGGGCAGCCTGCCGCGCGCTGCCTGAGCGAGCCGCCGGCCGTATCGGCGGCTGCCCGCCTGCGACCGCAGGTCATGCGCGCTGCGCTGGAGTGCGCGCACCGCGGGTGGGGTGAGAGCATTGTGATTGGGGTGGCGGCGGCGGGCAAGGAGATCTCCACCCGACCCTTCCAGCTCGTCACGGGGCGCGTGTGGAAGGGCACCGCCTTTGGCGGGTGGGTGGGCGGCGGGGGTGGGGCGGGCGATGCGCTGTGGCGCCCGCGCGCCGATGCCCTGCCATGTGCCCGTCCCTGCGGCCTGGCATGCGTTCCTGCACCCCGTTTCGAGCTCCAATCCACCCCGCCTCCATGCCTCCACGCCCGCGCCGCGCCTGCCCGCCGCGCAGGTACAAGAGCCGGCTGCAGGTGCCTGACCTGGTGGAGATGTACCAGCGGGGCGAGACGATGCTGGATGACTACATCACCCACACCATGGCCTTTGACGGTGAGGGAGCAGGCAGGTGGCGTGTGTGGCGGAGGTGGGGCGCGTGTGCGTGGTGGAGCGGGTGAGGCTGTTGGGGCTGGCTGCCTGCCCTCTTGGGGCCACCTCGCTCGCAGTGCACACACCACCATGCCGCCCCGTCCCCGCTGACACCTGCCGCAGAGATCAACACAGCCTTTGACCTGCTGCACTCGGGCAAGTGCCTGCGCTGCGTGCTCACCTTTGACTAGTGGCAAGGGAGGAGCCGGGCGGGCAGCCAGCTGGCAGCAGCAGGCGACCCGCCTCTGGTGTGCTGTGCTCAGAGATGGTACTGCTGCAAATTGCAGCAAAGCAAAGCATGAGTGTAATCGCATTGGAATCATCGTCACGTTGGTCAAAGAGGTGTGCAGTGCAGAATGCCGCGGGAAATCACTTTCGCTGGTCCGCCGTCGCAGCAGGCTGTGGGATGCTGCTAGCTGGCTGGCTGTGTCTGTGCGCAGCGTGTGCCGTAGGCTGCTGCCCACTACCAGCGACGGTGTTGTCTCTTGGGCTCTGTGTTCCATGGCTGCCTGCCGCCGGCTGTGGCTGCCTGCCGCCGCATCACCAGCATCACAGCAGGGGGCCGCGGGTGAGCAGGATGTCACCATACGGCACCTCCTGGCGGGTGCCCAGGAAGCCGTGGGAGCGGGCCTGCAGCGGTGTGGCAGCACGGGGCAGGGAGCGCCGGGGGTTGTGACACTGGACCAGGCAGCACAGAAGGTAAGGTGTAGCATGGCATGCAGGCCACGACCGGGCAGCGTGGCAGGGAAGCCCGGCAGCCACCCACGCCAGCCAGCCACGCCCAGCCACCTGCAGGGTCTGGTAGAAGAGCTTGGCGGCATCCATGCGGCCCAGCTTGGAGGCCAGGTCGAAGAAAGACAGGTGGAAGGCGGCCTGCTCGCCGCCATCACCCTGGGCACCGCCGCCGCCGTCCGCGCCTGCCAGCTGGCCCTCGGCTGCATTGAAGCGTCCGCGCATGACCCTGTGGGTTGTGGCAGTTGGTATTGGTCAGGGGCAGGGAGGGTCAGGGAGGGGTAAAGGAAGGGAAAGGGAGGGCCGCCATATTCAGTACAGCAGCGCGGGGCTACCCCCACCCCGGCTCCTCTGGCAAAGCCGCACCCTACCACGCTTCTTTCCTCCACACACCACACACTCATACCCGCCCCCCGCACACACCCAATGAAGGCAAGCGACTGCCTGCTCATGTTGGCGCCGCCCTGCGCGCCCCCAGGCATGCCGGACAGGGCCTGGGTGGGGCCCGAAGCCTCCAGCAGCTCAAACTGGGACAGCGAGCCGAGGCCGCCGGCGGCACCCTCCTCGCCCTGTGGTCACGGGCAAGCCAGGCAGGCAGGCAGGCAGGCAGGCAGCCGTCCATCGATTCCAGTGGCAATCCAGGCAGGCAGGGGAGCAGGCGGCAGCTCGCCATGTGGGGACAAAGCGCCAGCCAGGCGCGCCCTGGTGCGCCCCTCCACCCTCCACCCTCCGCCCCGCCTCACCGTGCGCTGGCGCTTGCGGCTGCCGCCCGCGCTGGGGCCACCCCCCCCCAGGAAGGGCTCGTCCTCGCCCACCGCGGGCAGCAGGGCCCCCAGGTCTTCGCCGCCAGCGGGGCCGACCCCGTCCTCTGCCAGGTCAGACAGGCGCCCGCCGTCGCGGCGCTCCGACGACCTGCGCGGCCCATGAGGGATAGGGAGACGGGAAGGGAAGGGGGAAAGGCTCGGTGATCAGGAGCCGGTGCCTGGCCCAGCCAAATGCAGTTTTCAAATACAGTCAGCCATGCGCAAGCAAGCAAGCCAGTTGGGAGCCGGCGGGAGCACGGCGGGGGCGTGGGCCCAGCTGGCCTCCTCCCTCTGCCGCATCAGGCTGGAATACAGCCACTCTCCCTCGCCCCTGCACATCTCGACCCGCCGCCGCCGCCGCCCCGCCCCCCACTCACTTCTCAGAGAGCACTCCAGACTCGGAGTCGCGGCGCAGCGCCCCCGAGCCGCGCTTGGCGCCGCGCCCGCCGCGCCCCGTGGCGGGCAGCGAGGCGGGGCGGGAGGGGTCGGCAGAGGCGGGGGTCAGGCCCATCTGCTGCAGGAAGAAAGGGTCAGTGCCCTGCGTGCTGTTGAGCGCGGCCCGCAGCCTGCAGGCGTGGGGAGCAGGCAGAGGGCGGGCCGCGCATGCGGCGTTCGTCAGGGGCGGCAGGGAGGGTGAGGGTGGTCAAGGCAGCCACAAGCTGGAGGGGTGCAGGAAGAGCAGCAAGCCCAGCTGCAGTCGGCGCAACCCGCCGCCTCACCGCTCCGTCTCCACATCCACCTCCTCCTCCTCCTCAGACCCCTCCCCCAGCTCCCGCTGCTGCCGCCGCATGCGGCGCTGGAAGGGGTTGCCTCCCGCAGCCCCCTCCTCATCATCATCCAGGTAGCCCGCCGCATGCTCCGGCAGTCCCCCCAGGCCTCCATAGGCCCCAAAGCCGCCATCCATGCCGCCAAAGCCGCCAAAGCCGCCGTCATCCATCGGCAGAGGGGCCCCACCTGCCGCCAGCTCATCCAGGTATCGCTCCTGCTCCTCCACGCCCTCCTCCTCCGCACGGCCGCCGTCGGCGGCGGCTGCGCCAGCGGCGGCGCCACCGCCCTTCTCTGCGATGGGAGGGCAGAGCGTGGGAGGGGGTGGAATGAGGGCGGCAGGCCAGCTGGGGGGTGCACGCAGAGGAGTTGAAAGGCAGCCGGTTGGGGGGCAACATGTGCTGAATGGCGGCATTGGGGGCCCTCGGCAGCGCTGCGTGCTGCCGCCGCTCACTGGGCCTGGCCTGGGACCTGGGCAGCGTGGCGTTGCGGGTGAACAGCTCCAGCAGCTCCGCAGGCCAGCGCCCGCCCGGCATGCGGGCGGCGGTGGCCGGCTCGACGACCAGCGCAGACTTGGCGGCGGCGGCGCCGCCGCCGCCGCCAAGGCCGGCAGGCGGGGCGCGGCGGGGGCGCGGCACCAGTATGTCAGAGCGGTCGCTCATCCAGTCCCGGTAGTCCTGTGGAGTAGCCGGGGGTGGAAAGCATGGATCGCCCATGCATGGGAGGACAGTGGGCAGGGGCAGCGGGAGACGGGCGGCGCCCCGGGTAGAGGCGGCGCGGGGGGCGTGCTGGAAGCGCCAGCACACAGCCTCGAAGCCAAACCCTCCAACCTCCAGGCAGCACCAGACCTTCCAGAGGTTCCCTCCCTCCTCCCTCTCTGTGCTAGCCTCGCCCCTATCCCCGTCCCGCCCCGCCCCGCCCCGCCTGCGCCCCCTCACCCTGCCCCGGATCTGCAGAGTGTCCAGACTGTCCACCACGGGGCGGCTGCGCCTCGTGCCGCCGCACCCCTTGCGCCCGCGCGACGCGGCCGCGGCGGCGCCGCCGGCGCCGCGCGAGCCCTGGGAGCCCTGGCTGGTGCGCTCGGAGGAGGCCTCAGTGGCCTTGCTGGAGGGCGGCTGATCCACATCCAGGCCTGCCAGGCAGCGGGGAGCGGCGCAGCGCGGGGCGGCGTGTGGGCAGCAGGCCGGGCAGGCGGCAGGCCGGGCAGGCGGGCGGTGAGGCGACACGGTCAGGCCGGCAGGCAGGGCAGCCACACACCCTGGCCTCCCCGCAACATCACTAGGGTCCTGCGTGCCTGCAGCCACTGCTGCCAAGACCAGCCGGCACCCACCCACCCAGGCACCCACCCGCGGGCACCGCCAGCAGGTCATCAGGAAGGGGTGGGCCGCCGCCGTCTGGCGCGGGGCCGGGCCCCGCCCCCATGTTGAAGAAGTCCTCCATGCCAGCTGGCAGCAGGTCCATGTCCGGTACCGCAAAAGTCTCGGGGCCGTCCCTGCACAGAAGGGAAGCCAGGGAGGGACGGGAGCCGTGATGAAGTGGCAGGTGGCAGGTGGCTGGCGGGTGTTGGCGGGTGGAGGACGGCACTTGATGGTTAAAGCCTGGGGACTCGAGCCGGGGGAGTGATGGAGCTGAGGCGAGGCGAGGAAAACAGGCAGGCAGGCAGGCAGGCAGGCAGGCAGGCAGGCAGGCAGGCGGGCAGGCGGGCAGCAGCCCAGCAGCGGCAGCGGGCGGGTGCAGGGCAGGCGCGGCGGCAGCGCACATGAGCTCCAGGTCGTGGCGGGGCAGGCCAGCCAGGTCCAGCTCCACACACCCCTCCCCCTCCCCCTGCCCAGCACCCAGCAGCAGGCCGCCGCCGCCGCCGCCGCCCGCGCCGCTCTGCACCTCGCCGCTGGCCGCGGCTGCCGCCGCGGCGCCGTGCCGCCCCTTGCCGCGCCGCTCCCGGGCGCCGCCGCCGCCGCCGGGGGCCGTGCCCTTGCTGAGACCGTCGGGCAGGCTGGGCATCACAAACAGACCGTCGCCCAGCTGCGGGCAACAACAGGACCAGGGACAGCAAGTAAGAGAAGCAGGGTGAGGCAGCAGGGGCAAGAACGCGGATACCCAGGGTGTTGCACTGCCCACCCCAGACAGAGCCCTCTGTTTTTCCAGAGCCCCACCTGCTGGCTGCGCGCGCTGGCGCCGCCCTCGCTGAGTGCTTGTGTTGGGAAGGAGGGGAAGAGGTCTCCAAGGTTGAGCAGCTGCATGTCGAGGTTGAGCGGCAGGGTGATGGCCTCCTCCCTCGCCGCCGCCTTCCCCTCCCCCAGCGTCATGCGCGCCGCAGCCTGGCCCGCCGCCTCGCCGTCCAGTGAGCGCAGGCGGCGCTGCGGAGGCGGTTGGTGTGGGGGGTGTGGGGTGGGGAAGAAGGTGGGGTGGCGCCGGCGGTGGCGGGGGTGTGGGGGTAGGCGAGGCAAGCCGGCGCGTGGGCAGCGCAGGGCAGCGCTGGGAACAGGCCGGGTGACGAGACCGGGGAGGGGCTGACGCTGCTGCGCTGCAACCGGCCGCGCAGCGCCTGCCCGGCCGTTCCGCCCACCCTGACTGTCCCTCCCTGCACTGCAACGCCCCGCCCCCAGCGCCGCTCACCAGGGTGTCCTGCGCATCCTCCAGCAGGTACACCTGCTGCTTGGCGTGCACGATGACGATGCCGCCCACGAGGATGGCCTGCAGGCGCAGCGCCTGCGGCACCTCCGGGTCCATCACCTTCTTGCTGCACCCACGTGGAGGGCGGGCAGGCAGGCAGGCGGCACGGGCAGGAGATATGGGTGAGAGGAGGCGGGACAGCAACGCCTGAGCTGCGGGCCACCAGGAACGCTGATTTGCAGCGGCAGCAGGCCCCCACGTCGCCCGCCGCGCTCACCATGCCTCTTTCACATTGACTTGCAGGATGCGGCCCTTGTTGAGCTTCTTGCCGTGCGCCGCGATCCTGCAGAGAGGGTAGCACGGTTCTGGCTGCCACTCTGTCGAGCAGGCAGCGGCTGTGGGCGCCTGGAAATTCAAACAGCAGCGGTCAGTGGGGCGGCCGCTCCGACTCGCCCAGCCAGCCTCACCAGACGGCGCCCAGCGCCGTTTTCTTGCCCAGCAGGTCGTGGGACCAAAACATGGCGCCTGGGCTGCGTCTTCGGGGCTTCCTGTGCGGCCTGCAGGGCAGCAGATGGGGGCCGCGAGTGCAGGCCCGGGTAGCAGCCTTGGAGCCCTAGGTGACACAGGCAGACCGTGGCAGCAGCCAGGCCGTGTGCAGGGCTGCTGGGCGGGCTGCTACCTGGAGCTGCCAGCAGTTTACAGCTCCTTACAGCTCCCCAGGCGGCCTGAATCTTGACTGAGAGTTGCTGACTGTAGCACAGGGCCGATTGGGCGGGCTCTAGCTTTCCACCCCCAGCACCCTTTCCACCTCGCTCCTGCGCGACGGCAATGCCTTACAAGACACAGACACACTGTGCAGGCCGCATTGCATTGGATGATGAACAAAAGAGGCATGCACAATCACAATCAAATACACTTGAAACAAGGAGGAGTATCAGTTCAGAGAGGCGGTGCGACAACAGTGCTCTCGAGCGACAAAGACAGCATGGTGGGGTGGAGGAGGAGAGCATTCACAGCAGCCGTGTGGGTGCTGCCGGCTGGACAGATCGCGTGGGGGTGGGCGTGAGAATGTATGCATGGGGTGAGCAATGCTCGCAACAGCAGCATCGAGGCGCTCAGGGCAGAATGCGTGTCGCCGCAGCATCTCGCTGCGCCTGCCGCCAGCCAACACATGTGGCGGGGTAACTAGGGTTGGTCCTGGCTGCTTCACTTCAATCGCGAAGGTGGGGCCGAGGTGTCGGCGCCATGTGGTAGCAGCAAAGCGTCTGATCCATCAATCGTTTACTTGTTGGCGAAGGCAATACCCGCCTCGATGTTCTTGCTCAGCAGCCCCTTCATCTTCTCCAGCCCCTCCTGCTCAAACGCGGTCAGCGGGCCCAGCGGCAGGAACTCCTCGACGCCGTCGGGGCCCAGGCGCACCTGCGGCGGCGGGAGTGGCACACGCAGCAGAGTGGAGGAGGTGCCGCACGCACACCCTTCCAGCCTGCTGCTTCTTTGGCATTGCAGGCCAACCAGCGCGGGGCGCGGGCGACAGCAAGGCAGGCCCCACCTTGCTGGCAAAGTACTGGAAGCCGGGCACCACCTCGCTCTCCACGTAGGTGCACTCGATGATGTCCTGCTCCCCGCTCAGGCCCAGCAGCACGCTCTCCGCAAAGCGCGCCGCCGCGTAGGCCATGGACAGCGTGGCGGAGCCGGCGCCCGCCTTGGCCTCCACCACCTCCGTGCCCGCGTTCTGGATGCGCTCCGTCATCTTGGCGGCCTCCTCGGGCGAGAACTGCACCCTGGGGGTGGCCTGCGGCACGGGCAGGCGCAAGGAGCCAAGGGTTGAGAATCAGGTGAGCTGGCGCGGGGTCAAACAGCAGGCCGCCACGTGCCTCCTGCCTGCCTGCCTGCCTGCACGCGCCACACACGCCAGGCAGCTGCTGCCCAAGGGCAGCCCCACCTGGCTCAGCAGCGGCAGGATGGTCTCTCCGGCGTGGCCGCCGATGACGGGCACATCCACATCCTTGGTGTCCAGCCCCTTGGCCTCAGCCACAAAGGTGTTAGCCCGCACCACGTCCAGCGTGGTCACGCCCATCACCTGCTTGCCGGCAGGGGTGGGAGGCGGCGGCAGGGTGGAGGAGACTGGCCATCCGGAACAGTTGGAGTTGTGCAGGGCGGGAAGCAGTTGGGCAGGTCTGGGAGCAGGGTGCATTGCCAGGCAGGTGGGCAGGTGCCAGGCAGGGACTGAGTGGCCCCAGGAGTGCACACGTGAACGGCGGTAACCAGCGGAGGGTGCTGCCCACCTTGCGCGGGTTGTACACGCCCGCCTTCTTCAGCACCTCCGCGCAGATGGGCACTGTGGAGTTGACGGGGTTGCTGCGGGGGGGCAAGCGGGGTAGGCAAGGTGGCCAGGCGGGGCCGGGTGAGGAGCACGCGCAGCAGTGCTGGCCGAAGACGGGGCACGTTTGAACACCTGCCTTTGAACACCGATGCCCCGTCTCGCAAGCCTCTCGCCCCAATGCCATCCGCCCTGGGACTCGCTCCCGCGCAGGCCCCAGCCCAGCGCTTGCCGCACCTGATGATGGCGATGATGGCGTCGGGGCAGCTGGCGGCCACGCCCTCGCACAGTGTCTTCACGATGCCAGCGTTGATGTTGAAGAGGTCGTCGCGGGTCATGCCCGGCTTGCGCGGCACGCCCGCGGGGATCACCACCAGCTCGGCGCCCTTGAGCGCGCCCGCCAGCTCCTCGGCGCCGGTGTACCCGGTGACCTGCACCCGTGGCACGCCAGGCGTGGGGCCAGCCTAGGTGAGTGAGCAACGGTCGCTCGGCCTGCCGATGCTTGCCAGCGCGTGGCCATGCATGCATCATGTGAGCCCCGGCGACGATTGCCGCCGGACAAGCTCTGTGGCTGAACTCTCCATCCAGCTCCCTGGAAGTGTAGTGTGCATGCGGCCACCTTTGTGTTGGTGTTGCAGTGGCTCAGGTCTGCCGCCACGCCCGCCACGTTGGCGATATCGTACAGCGCCAGCTCCGTCACCATGCGGTTCATCTTCAGCAGCAGGCTCAGCGGCTGGCCGATGCCGCCCGCGGCGCCCAGCACCGCCACCTTGCTGCAGCAGGGACGGGGCGTAGGGAGCGGTGCCGGGTGAGGCGATGGGAAGAGGACCAGCCATAGGGGGGCTGGTGGCGTGGGGGGTGGGATGAGGGAGTGCAGGCACAAAGAGCACCGCCGAGCGGCCTGTCGCTGGCGGCGGCGCGGTTGGGCGCTGCCATCGGGCGGCCATCAGGGGGGCACCACCAACAACCCGCCCGCGCGCATAACCCAAACTGCTGCACGCGACTGCTGTGTCAGCTGCTCACCGGGCCTCGATCACGGCCTGGCGGCGGCCCGCCCTGACCGGCTGCTGCCGCGATGCGACGATAGGGCGCTGCTCCATCCGCATGTTGCGCTGCGCTCCGATCGCCTTCATGCCGCTGAAGGTCGCCAGGCGCTGGGTGCTGCACCGTGGCGCCGCCATTTGAGCTTTCGAGGTGGAGGCCGCAGTCACGGACATTTTTGAGAGTGCTGAAGCGATGGTAGTGGCCGATGCGCCAACACGCCATGCATGATGAATCCAGCTGACCGTCGGCGCCAACCTGTCACAGGGGGCGACGGTCGCCCCCAGCGACGCTCGGCGCTAGTCTGCCACTGCGCGAATCCTCTTACATTAATAACCAGCACGCCTCCCACTGGTGCCACCATGTTTGCCTCTCTCACACACGATGCCATTGATGGAGCCTCACCCCTCGCCGTCGCCGCTCTTGCAACACTCCATTCCCTGAATCAAAGCAGCCCACTGACCGTGAGAGTGGCATTGCTCTCAATGCTCCAATGTCTGAATCACAGCGACTCAAAGCCGGCACCGCTGTTGGAATGCCCGGCGGCCGGCGCCGGCCAGCGGTACGGCGGCGGCAGTGCAAATGGGCCAAGGGCTAATCTCGTTTCGCGTGAGGGTTGCTGCAGTGCAACACGATGGACTGGAAAGCCCACCTGGCGGGCCTGGTCAAGGAGACTGAGAGGAACCTTGCTCGAGTGCACGGCTCATCGCACTGCAGTTACTCGTTGACCAGCAAAAAGGCGAGCTTTGGGGTGCTCCGCCGCCTGTTGCAGTTCCCAGCGACTGTCGAGGGTGCCGCACGAGGCGTGGGCGCAACCGCCTCATCTCTGCCGCACCCGCCTTTGCCCCACCGGGCGCCCCGAGCCCCGCCTGCAGACCCCGCCCAGCTATGCGCTGCTGCGGCAAGGAGTCAGCCCAGGGGACCCGCACCTCATCGCCCCTGCAGCCGTGGGCCCTGATGACGTCGGCCCTGACCAGCTCATCCCGTCGTTCTACCCAGAGGAGCAACCGCCGCCGCTAATGCCTGCACAGCCACCTGCGCAGCAGGTGGCCCAAGTGGAGAAGCTCAGGGAGGAGCTGCGGGTGGTGAGCGACCAGCTGACGCTGCTGCGCCAGTCGGCCGCTGGCTGGCAGCAGGTGGCGGCGACGGCGGCGGGCGTGGATGGGAGGTGCACCTCCGCCGCCAACCAGCTGGCGCTGCTAAGCACGGGGGTGGCAGACCTGCAGGCAGCCCAGGCACGCATGCAGCACGCCAGCGACGCCGGTCATCGGGAGGTGCAGGGGGAGTTGGAGGCGCTGGGTGCTCGGCTCGACACGTTTGCTGCCGCCCAGCGCGCTGGCACAACGGTGGGGCCGGGAGGGGCGGCCCTGGCGCCGCTCTCCGCCAGGCTAGAACAGGCAGAGCAGGCGCTGGCTGCCCTGCGCACGCGCCTAGAGCAGCAGGCGCCAGCGGCAGCGGCAGCTGCCAGCGCTGCACAGCGGCAGGAGGCGCAGCAGCAGGAGCTGGGACACATCAATGCCGGGCTGCATGCGATGCAGGCAGCTATTGCTGCGGCAGCCCAGCAACATGCCAGCGAGGTCGCTGAGCTGCGCAGCCAGCAGGGAGAGCTGCAGGCGGCACAACGCGCCATCGAGAAGCGCAGCAGTCACATTGAGCAGGTGAGCAGCCAGCTGGCAGTTGTGCAGGCGGCGCAAAGCGCACAGGGCGCCTCGGTGCAGCAGCAGGCCAGGCGGCTGGAGCAGCTGGCACAGCAGCTAGCAGCAGACGTGGCCGCGCGGCCGCTTGAGCAGCAGCAGCAGCAGCAGCCTGCTGTGCCTGCTGTGAGCCCGGAGGCCCTCCAGCAGCTGGCCGGCCAAGTGCAGGACAGCGCAGGCGCCGTTGCGCAGCTGCAGGAGCAGGTGGGTACCGGGTGAGCATGGTGAGGACTGGCCCGCAGACCCGCTGCTCCTGAGCCGCACAGGATGCCCCCCTCACTTGGCTTGCCCATGCGCCTGCAGGTGGGGCGCCTGGAGGCAGTGCAGGAGGCAGTGGATGATGTGAACCAGCGCCTTTTTGAGCTGCGGGTGGAGTTTCAGAATGCGGGAGAGGATGGGGCCATCACCGCTGCCTCCTCCAAGCGCCAGGTGGGCACCAGCTCAGAGCTGGATGATGGGAACGAGCACCTCGCAATGCACGCCTCACCTGTTGTGCACCTCCATGCAGGCCGAGGCGGCGGAGCGGCAGGCAGCAGAGGCAGTGGATGCTGTGGCCGATGTGCGAGAGCTAGCGGCGCAGCTGCAGCAGCAGGTGGCCTCCCTGCACCTGCACCTGCACCTGCAGCAGACGCAGCCGGGGCCTGACGCCGCTGTGCGCAGAGATCTGGCAGAGGCGGTGCAGCAGCAGGTGCAGGCAGAGGTGGCTGGCCTCAGGGCTGAGCTGGCTGGCAGCAGCATGCCTCCCCACCACCTCGCTTTTGAACATGAGAGCAGCGTGCTATTGCAGACGGTGCAAGCGGTGGATGAGATGGCAGCTGAGCTGGCGGGCCTCAAGCTGCTGCTGGCGCAGCAGTCGGAGGCCGCAGAGAAGGTGGCCGCGGCCTCGCGGGCCGAGGCTGCCGCCAAGGAGGAGCGCATGGCTGGCCTGGAGTCTGCTGTGTCAGCCCTGGAGCAGCTGGGGCCAGGCAAGCCAGCGCTGGCCAATGCCGTCGAGACGGCGGCCTGCCTGACCACGCTCAGCGACATCGTGCACAAGCAGCGGGAGGACATGCTGCATGTGAAGCAGAGCGTGGCGGCAGCCAAGGCGGCTGCGACGGCTGCCACCGAGGCCATCGCCGCGGGCGCTGCTGCTGCCGGTGATGCCAGCCAGCTGCAGCTACAGGACACAGTCGCTGCTCTGGAGGCTGGCATGTCTGGCCTGCAGGAGCAGGCTCAGGCAGCGGCTGCCGCTAGCAGCCAACAGGCGACGGAGCAGCAGCAGGAGCTGGCGGGCCTGCGGCTGCAGCTGTATGAGGTGCAGGAGGATCTGGCTGGGGCAGTGGCTGTGCGGCAGGACATCCCGACGGTGCAACTCAAGCTGGCTGCGCTTGAAGCTGGCATCGAGAGCCGGCTAGGAGAGTTCCTGCCAGCGCTGTCCGCCGTGCAGCAGCGCTTGGCACAGCTGGAGGATGCTGTGACCCAAAGCCGGCAGCAGCAGCAGCAGCAGCAGCAGCAGCAGGATGGCGCAGAGGGAGGCAGCAGCCCTGGCTTCCAGGAGCCTGCCGTGCCAGCAGCTGGCGGCGAGGACAGGGGTACACTAAAGACCCGCTTAGAGCAGCTGGAGGCAGGGCTGGAGGGCAGCACCAGAGACGCAGCTGCTCAAGCTGCCCAGCAGCAGCAGGCACTTGCAGCGTTGCAGCAGCAGATGGCCCTCATGCAGCAGCAGGTGGCCACCCTTGTTGCTGGCAATCGCCAGGAGAGGCAGCAGCAGCGGCTGCCGCCTGAGCTGGAGAGGGAGGTGGGTGCTCGGGTGCAGAGGACCGAGGCCACGGTGGCAGCTGCGTTAGAGGAGGCGGCGGCACAGATGGCAGCTCTGATGGCCCGCATGGATAAAGCAGAGGCGTCCTCCATGGCCTCTGCCACCCACGCCCAGGCAGCGGCACTGGTGGCCCAGCAGCAAGTGGCAGCGGTGCACAGCATGGTGTCCCTGCCCTCCCGCCAGCCCAGCGAGCAGCAGTTGCCGCAGCAGGCCAGTGAGGAGAGGGCCGGGGTGGCGCTGTCTCGCCAGGGAACCCTGAAGCGCTCCCAACCGCAGCAGCAGCAGCCGCCATGGCAGCCACCCTCGACATCCTCGGCAGCTGCTTCAGCCTCCTCATCCCGGCAGTCCAGCTTGCGCCCCACAAAGTCGCTGCCGCAAGCACAGCCAGCAGAAGGCGCCCAGCTGCCGCAGCCTCCTGCTCGCCAGAACACAAGCGGTGGCGGTGGTCTGTTTGCCCGGCTGAGCCGCAGCTTCACCAGCCAGAGGCGCAACAGCAAGGACGCCGCCGCAGCGGCTCAGCGCGTCGCTGCCGCCCCTACCACAGCTGGAGCGGCCTCGTCATCGGCAGCCGCAGCTGCTGCTCCTCATGGTTTGCAGGAGGGCGGGAGTGGTGGCTTTGAGGTGCCGCTGCGTGTGCAGTACAGTTCCAGCTTGGAGCAGGAGCCGAGCCTCGGGGAGAGCCAGCAGGCGGGCAGCCAGTCCCGCTCGGCAGCTTCATCCCCGCCCCGCAGCCGCCGCACCACTAGCGGCGCAGCCTCTGGAACAGGCACTCCCCGCCGACAGTCCAGCGGCGTCCAGCCCGGTGGCAGCGGCAGCGGCGCCACTGGTAAGCAGCTGTACACGCCTCGCGGCCGCCACTCCTCCAGCTCCCAGGCGTGCCTGTCGCAGGAGCACAGCAGCGGCAAGCTCACCCCGCGGCAGGGAGGGAGCATGGTGGGGGGCGACAGCAGCTTTGGCGACATCCCGCTGCCGCAGGGATCCTCCTGCCTCATCTCCCCCAGGTGGGGCATCGGGAGGGCTGCTGGCTGGGGTGGGGGGGGTCAGTCACACAGCTACAGTGAATGTGCTGCACTGCTGCAATGCCCGGCAGCGCTCCACTCAATCCCGAGCGTCTTCCCTGTTGACCTGGCTACCGCATTGCAGGGAGGATGTGGGGGAGCGCATCCTGCAGCTGCGCAGCGAGCTGGCCGACCCAGACCTGGACGAGGTGCAGCGCGAGGTGCTGGCCTCGGATCTGGAGCGCCTGCTGGAGCGTGCGGCGCAGGAGGGGCGGGGGGCCGGTTGAGGCCGCTCAGCGACGGCGGGCGCGGCGGCTCGGACTTGCGACAGTTGGCGGGCGGGAGGAGGGCGACTGGTCATCATGATGCTCCCTTAACTTAAGCTCATTCTACACGCAATTTTGTGACTCGACTTATGTCTGATTGTGGGGCGGTGTGGCGACCGTCAAGCGCACGCCTCTCGGTCATGCTCTCCTCTCGGTCATGTGCCTGGAAACAGCCCGGAGACAGGCCATGAAGTAGGGCCACACAGCTCCCTGGCTCAGGCTGCATGCAGCTGCAAAACTTAGGAAGTGGTTATGGGTGGACAAGCCAATGGCGCCCCTCATGCATGTTGTGGGCGGTGACATGGGGCTGCGGCGGTCACGGAAGCAGCCACATTGTCGATCACATTGTCTCAATCACAACCGCAGCGGTCTGCCATTGAACATGGTTGCTTCTTTGAGGGCTGCCTGCGTCCCTGTGGCGACGGCGATGGGTGCAGTAGCCAGGCCGGCGGCGCTCAAGTGAGGCGATTGCGTTGGGAGGCCCAGATCTCCACGTGCAGAGCACTCGAGAGGGTGGCCCCGTTCTGCTCCGTCACAATTGCAATGCGCAATGGTTGGACTCTTGCAGGCCTGTGCACGTCGCCAGGTACTTTGTGGCTGTCCCAGCAGGCGTTGCGCGCAGCCGTTCCACCGCCGCTCACACCCCGGCCGCCGGGCAGCACCGCCGCCGCGCGACTGCCGCAGCGGGCGCCGAGCGATGGCAGCGACTCCGCTCCAGGGGAACCGCCTCGGACGCCGTGGCAGCCACCACTGGCGTGGCTTCCCCTGGGGACTATTGCGAAGCAGAGTATACCGTATCCACGGAGGATGGGAATGTGGTGGACAGCTCCAGGGAGGCCGGCGCCCAGGCGTGCTTCATCCTCGGCAGCAGCCACGTCGTGGCCGGGTTTCACCAGGCTGTTGGAGGCCTGGCCGTGGGCGAGAGCCGCAAGCACCGCGTGTCAGCAGAGGATGCATATGGTAACACATTGAATGCATGATTGTAGCTGCCGATCTTGCCGTGCATATGCTGGTGCGCTTGCCTGCTGCTCCCGATGCCATCTGCACTGGCTGGCACGCAGGCGAGCCGAACGAGGAGATGATTGCTGAGCTGCCCAAGAGCCAGGCGCCTCCCGGGCTGGAGAAGGGCATGGTTGTGCAGCTGACCAATGGCATGCAGGTGGGCAGGCGGGCGATGTGATCTCCCGCTGCCGCCTTCACACCGCTGCGAAAAGATGTTAGACATTCGACTGCTGACGCATGTGCCCACCTTGGGCCCACCACCTGCAGGCGGTGGTGGCTGCGGTGGACGAGGAGTCGGTGACCATCGATGCCAACCACCCGCTGGCTGGCAAGGCGCTGATGTTTGATGTCCAGCTCACCAGGCGCATCCCCGCCGCGCAGCTGGAGACGGCGACCTTTGGGGCGGGCTGCTTCTGGTGAGTGCGGGAGAGCACGCCAAATCCCCGAGCACCTTGCCTGTTGCGGGAGCAGCAGCGCATGCCAGCAGGGTGTGGGAGATGCCCCATGTTGCGTGTGGTGTGTGCCTGCAGGAGCGTGGAGCTGGCATATCAGCGCGTGCCTGGCGTGGTGCAGACGGCTGTGGGCTACAGCCAGGGGCGGGTGCCCAACGTCACGTATGAGCAGGTGACCTGTCCGCGATCGTGCAGCTCCTGCTGCCCTGTGGCGGGGGCCAGCGCTGGGCACCTGGCTGTCATGCTGGTGGCTCACCAGCGCACAACTATGCGTTATGTGGTGTGCATGCTTCCTGGCAGGTGTGCCAGGGCAACACGGGGCACAACGAGGTGGTGCAGGTGGTGTATGACCCCTCACAGGTGAGCCGGCTGCCTGGCCTGGCATTCAGCTGGCAGCGAGGCTGCACGGGAGGGGGAATGCCAACAGCAGCAGCCAGGAGCAGCAATGGGATGCGCATCGAGTGCAGTGCCTGCCCCGCCCTTCTCTGCTTGCCGCCTGTCCACGTTTGCAGGTGACATATGAGCAGCTGCTGGATGTGTTTTGGGGCAAGCACGACCCCACCACTCCCAACCAGCAGGGCGGCGATGTGGGAGAGCAGTACCGGTGAGTCTTCACGGGGCTGCGGCCAGGCACGGCGGGGGCTGCTGCCACTGGAACACCGGGGTGTGCTTGCTAGCCTGCAAACGAGTGCTGCTGCCCATGCTGCCCATGTGTTAGCAGGAGCGGCATCTACTACCACACCGAGGAGCAGCGGCAGGTGGCTGAGGCCTCGCTGGCGCGCCAAAACGAGAAGCTGGGCGGCAAGGTGGTGACCGAGATTGAGCAGGCGCGCCGCTGCTGCTGCCCATGTGCCACTTCCTCCTTCCAGGATGCTGCTTGTTGGTTTGTCTCTGCATGCGATCCTGATGGGCGGACGCTGTCGTGCCTGGTACTGCCGATACTGCAGATCAACAACTACTGGGAAGCCGAGGAGTATCATCAGCGGTATCTGGAGAAGGGCGGCCGCAATGGGCGGGCCCAGAGCGCCGCAAAAGGCTGCAACGACCCGATTCGGTGCTACGGCTGAGGCCCCCAACCCCGCCTGAATCGCTGCTCGCTGCCACGCTCTCAGTTGCAGGATCCCTGCTTGTCTCTGGCACTGCAATCATCATCAGCTTTTCATCGACTGAGAGAGAGGGAAAATCAATTGAGAGGGAGGGTGAGATGCAGCAGGCAGCAGCCAAGGGTTGTCCTTGATAGGGAAACACTCCCTGGATTCGCGTCCCCACACAAAGCTGCCTGCCTCCCTAGCTGCTGCCCTGCTTCTCCTTGCGCACGAGCGTGGTGTACAAGCCCATGTGATCACTGCAGGTGGGAAGAGGCCGCCCGCTGTTAGCGTTCCTGCGCAGCTTGCAGCTCTCCTGCTGTGCCTCCCCTGTACATAAGCCTGCTGTTCCTCCACGTGTGCATGCTTGCGTCCCCACCTGATCCACACCGGGATCTGCTTCTGCCGCGTCTAGTCCATGCGGGTCAGCTCCCGCCCGGTGCGCGGGTCACAGATGCGCTCCCCACCCACCACCTCCATGTGCGCAGGCCTCCAGTCCGGCAGGCGCCCAAGGAAGCGGTCCAGCCGCGACTGCAAGCCCAGGCGACAGTCAAGCCAGCAATAATGGTCAGGCCAAGAAGGAGCGAGCATGAGATGGGAGATGGGAAACATTTGCAGACGCGTTCAAAACTGTCACCTGGGTGCTCGCATTGCTCGTCTCCCCTTTCAGCTGCACCACACTGGGGTCATAGGTCCAGCCCGGCAGCGGGTGGGAGCTGCGCTCGCCGTGCAGGCTCCACCACAGATCATACCAGCCCCGGCCGCGCGGGTAGGGCACCCAGGGCTCCTTGCCATTCCTTGCGATCCAATTCATGTCTCCTGCGGGCCAGCAGCCAGCAAGGATCTCGCATGGCAGGCAGCAAGCAGGGCTGCCCAGGCATGGCGCAAGCACTGTCTCAGTCAGTCGCCCGCGCCCCCAGGCAAGCACCCCGCAGCCACCTGCAACCAGCACGTTGGTCTCTGTGGGAGCAGCATCCAGGTGTTACCCTGTGTTACAGTCACCCCGCTATGATAGGCCGCGTGAGCAGGTGTCCCCAGGTGTTACAGTCACCCCGCTATGATAGGCCGCGTGAGCAGACCTTGGGCAGGGGGCACACGTGATCAAGGGGCATCAAGAGAGGGGGTGGACCATGGAGCACCCTCTCCATGGCTCCGACCACCCTCCCCCCAGCTGAGCGTCCCAGGGTCACCCCACCCTGGCCCCGCTCCCCGTCCTGCCGGACACGCAACCCCCACAACGTGGTGGGGGACGTGGGGATCCTTAGCAGCTTAGGCCTGCCAGGCCGACGGGTGCCGATGCTGGTGCGGGCTCCCGGCGGCAGGCAGCGCCGCCGCCGGGCACTCAAATGGCATGGGGCACATGGGCCCCCATGCCCGCACATCTCCCAGGCACATGAAAATACCAGAAGGCTGCACATGTAAGGGTGCATGCATTGCAGGCAGGAGTGCAAAGTGGCCTGCCGCGGCGGTCGGCTGTGCCATTACTCAGTCAGCCGCCGATACCGTGCCGGGCTTGGCGTTCCCATGCCAACATGCCGGCGTGCCATCGCGCAAGGGCCAGTGAGTGTGTGAGGTGGAGGTGGGGGTGGTGGGGCTGCCGCTGACCGCTGCTTGCTGACGCTGACGCTGCTCTTACCTGCGGGGGGAGGGGGTGGGTCGGGAGCCAAGGCCGGGCAAAAGATGCCTGGGCCCTACTCAAGGGAACCGGGGGAGTCACTGTGCCAGGGCAGCAGCATGCTCCTCATGGCACCGGTCGGCAAACCGGGCCAGCCGGCCCTGCCTGGCCTGGCCGAGGAAGGCGGCCAGGGAGGGCAAGGCGTGGCCGGGACTGTGGAAGAGCTCAGCATACTCCTCCCTCAGCCCAGCGTATAGGGGGCAGTCATGCACTGCGTGGCGTACGTCCTCTAGAGGGGCCTGGCAGTGGGGGCATGGGCGCTGGGTGCGGTCCAGCCGCTGCCACCGGCCTGTCTCCTCAGCCATCCAGTGCGACCCCGTGCGCCACTGCGCCAGGCGCACCCGGCGCCGGCGCTCGGGCACATCGCACAGGAACGACGCAGGCGTGTAGGCCTCCGCAGAGATGCTGCCCCCCCACACGTCCTCAATGTACCGCTGCACCTTCACGGATGCATGCGTGTACGAGGCAACATGGCGCTCCAGGAGCGCTTCCGCCAATTCAGGTATGGCAACCCCCTCGTCAGCAGTCAAGTCGCAGGGGGCGCCGGCCGCCGCGAGAACGCGGCTAACCTGCGCTGCCCAGGGCTGCCGGGCCAGTGGCAGCCCTGTGTCCGTGTCGGCAGCCAGCG